TAGATGACTGTAGGGGTGTTGGGGTAACAGCCCCCTGTAGGATAATAACATTGATCTCTCATACTTATGTTTACAGTGTTATTGTATGAATTACTGAAGTAATTCAAGTGTAGCACATTGAAGAGTACTGTTAATTCTAAATACTACAGATTCTTTGCAGTAAACAGGAGGTGGTTGAGGGCTACAGTAAACTGTTGGGACTATTCTCTCATTAATGTAGATTGCAGCCAGTATTTTACTTTCCAGAAGGAAATGCTGAAATGTAACATTGTTCCATCTTAATTGTTAAGGTAAATTCCTAGCTATGATATGAAAGTTCACAAGACCAGGGCTATTTTGGGGCAGGAACGCACAGGAATGGAGTTCCGGCTGGCTCCCAAGTTGGCCACGCCCAGCAGGAACTCATTAGCATAATAGGCCACACCCAATAGCAGAAACTCATTAGGATTGGCTACATTAGGGGTGTGTGGCCTAACATGCAAAGGAGTTCCTGCTACAAAAAAGGCCCTGGGTTTTGACAACAAACAAGGTAAACAGAATAACAAGCAAAAGGTGGGTGTGGCTGGATGACCACACTTCTGGTAACATGGGGGTGTGGCCTAATGTGCTAATGAGCTGTGCTGTCAGGGGTGTGGCCTAATATGCTAATGAGTTCCTCCTGTTGGGTGTGGCCTATTATGCTAATAAGTTCCTGCTGCGCTTTTTCTACAAAAAGAGCCCTGCCAAGACATTGCAAAATTTTCTAAGTGGAAAAAGGAATAACTGCAGAATGAGTGTGTTGATTATTAAGGATTGTCATGTTTTTTTCCTTATCAGCTGCTCTCTGCTGTTCAACTCAGGCCTCAGAATTATCATATAGCATTTAGGCAGAAAGATGCAGCCCAGCAAGCCAGCACTGGAGGCCAAGATGGAGAAGATCTCCACGGCCACCATGTCTTTTCCTCTTGTGCTCAGGTAAGTAGGGACAAAGGACAGCCAAACACTGCAAAAGACCAGCATGCTGAAGGTGATGAACTTGGCTTCATTGAAGCTGTCAGGTAGTTTTCTGGCCAGGAAAGCAACAATGAAGCAGATGGTTGCAAGAAATCCCATGTAGCCCAAGACACAGTAAAACATAGTGACTGACCCTTCATTGCATTGCACGATGATTTCTTTACTCAGTGAATTCTTGTCCACATCTGGGAATGGAGGAGAAGAACCAAGCCAAACAGCACAAATGCCAACTTGAACAAAGGAGCAAGAAAGAACTATATAATGTGCTGATTGTTTTCCCACCCATTTTCTAAAATGGTTTCCTGGCTTGGATGCAATAAATGCCAAAATGACAGTCACAGTTTTTGCCAAGACAGAAGAAACAGCAATGGAGAAGATGATGCCAAAAGTCATTTGTCGGAGGAGGCAGGTCACCTCATTAGGCTGTCCAATGAAGAGCAAGGAGCAGAGGAAGCAGAGAAAGAGAGAGATGAGCAGAACGTAGGTGAGGCTCCGGTTGTTGGCTTTAACGATGGGGGTGCCCTTGTACTTTACAATGATTGCAAGCACCAGAGCTGTGACGAGAGTAAAGAAAAGAGCCCCAAAGGCTAAAATAATGCTCAGAGGTTCTGCAAATGAAAGGAAATTTGGAACCTTTGGAATGCATTGATCTTGACCCTGGTTTGGATAATGACCTTCAGAGCAAGTGATGCAATAATCCATATCTGAAAGGAGAAGACAACCCATTTAGAAACTTTTGTTATACAACAAGAGGTTTTATAAAGTAGTAAGTAACCTTGTATGGCCAACCCTTGATAAAAAAGCAGTTTTATAAAGCTTTCCTAACACTGAGGATATTTAAGATGTGATGCCAGTCTTTGAACCTTTATACATATCTTGAAATGAGAGCTTGAATCCTATAGTGCTCAATGGAGCTTTGCAAATTGTGTATGGTTCACTGTGATGCTTCTCAGTTTCTTACCAGGTGCTCTCTTTAGTTATAACAGAACTAAGCCCCATTGCACTCAGGAATTCTGTATTCTTTAAATCTTAATTCTCATATTTACACAAAAGCATAAAGCAAAGATCTGAAGGAATCCATAATAGAGAAAGAACATATTAAACTCCTTTATCACATTTTCCCAAAGTGCAGATGTTTAGATTCCATCCCTTCAGGCAATCAGTTCTACAAATTGTTGGGATTTTTAACAGGAGCATTTCCTACCCTCTTTGTCTGACATTTCCCCTTCTGGACATGGGTCACAATTGTAGCAGCAGAATTTCTCCCCTTCCTTCTTTCTCCTGCTGGAACCAGGCTTGCAGTTATCATTACACACAGAGAAAGGAGGCACCTATTCTTGAAGAAAGCAAGAATTTAGAACTGAGGAGCTATTGTGAGTATCTGGCTTCTGAATTGCTCTACAAGTTGTGAAGGTAATTGAAATAGCTATATGGCCAGGGCCCAACATACCTGAGGGACCGCCTTTCCCCGTATATATACCCCAGAGAGCACTACGGTCGGGGGTGCAACACCGACTGGTTATTCCAGGCCCCAGGGAGGCCAGGCTCGCAGCTACTAGAGCCAGGGCCTTTTCAGTGGCAGCTCCTTCCTGGTGGAATGAGCTCCCGGAGGAGATCAGGGCCCTGTGGGATCTTGTGCAGTTCCGCAGGGCTTGCAAGACGGAGCTCTTCCACCAGGCCTTTAATTAGGAGCCACCCACATTACCATCAACGGCCACTATTAATATCTGTGGCGTAGGCTGGCTGTAGTTGAGACTGAGCCAAATCGCCTTGAAGAACACGAGCCTGGATTTGCTTTGAGCCTGCATTATATGGCACACCATCTTGCTTAATAATCACTGTATGCACTTTGATTTGAAATTGTTTCTTGTTTTAAATGTTTTAAATGTTTTAAATATGTATATGAATCCTGGCACACTGTGCCAAGCAATATGAGCCACCCTGAGCCCACTTGCGGGGAGGGCAGGCTATAAATGCAACAAATAAATAAATAAATAGCTGAGATCTGAAACAAAGCTCTTTTTTTTAGAGGAATGTTTATTATCCAAGGCACGGTGGAACCAACAAAAGTTTAACTGTTGCATGCTTCTTGAGCCCAATGATGATGTTATTTAATATGGACTAATCAAAAATTATGGGGTTACAAATTCATGGAGTCCATTTGCTCACCTTAAAGCAGTGGCTCAGAGGTTAAGACGCTGAAAGCTGCAGACTGGAAGGTCCGTAGCTTGGCAGTTCGAGACCCTAGTATCGCGTGACGAAGTGAGCTCCCATCTCTGGCCCCAGCTCCTGCCAATTTAGCAGTTCGAAAGCAAGAAATTGCAAGTAGATAAATAGGTACCACTTTGGTGGGAAGGTAACAGCATTCCATGCACCTTGGCATTTAGTCAATCCTGGCCACATGACCACAGAAACGTCTTCAGACAGCGCTGGCTCTTTGGCTTGGAAACAGAGATGAGCACCATCCCCTAGAGTCAGATTCGACTGGCTTTCAAGCAAGGGAAACCTTTACATTTAAGCAAAATGTATGGATGTAGAAATTCATGGAGTCCATTTGCTCCCCTTAAAGCTTCTGCCAAGTGACTTCATTAAATATCAAAGAGCTTTTGTATTTATTTGACATAGAGTGCTTTTATCACCTGGGCGAAGTTTGTATGCCACTCAATTCTCTCTTCATTGATGATTACTCTTTTACTAAGAGGAACCTGAGGATCCAATCTCCCGATCTTGACTTTGACATAGGAGTTATTTGGGAAGGTGACCAAATTTTTAATATCAAATCCACCTTTCAGTTCTCCATGTTCATTAAAGGTCACTTCATCTCCAGCACTGTTGTTGAAAGCAATTCTCTGAAGAAGGGTGTGGAGCTTGGTGAAAAGAGAAAGAACATTAAGGGGCCTGGAATGGATTGGATTTTTTTTTTAACTGCCCCAAGGGGCAGAATTTTATTTGTTTTTGAAAATAGACACACATATAAACACTTTGGGTTGGATTGACTGGAATGCACTCACCACCACATTTCAGTTTCAGACAGCCTTAAAATTAATTGACATTACTTTCTTCTAGGAGAGTAGTCATTTATGGCCATCTGATAGCAATGCTGATTTTGTGAACCATGAGAGGGAGGGCAGGAAGGGTTGCATCATCGCTTAATTCTTGCTGGCCCTGTTGGATCGCCGCTAACAAAGATCCGGAGAGTGATTTCAACAAGTGAATCAGCTTTATTGAAGTAACGAACAAGCACTTAAACGCATTCATAACCAGAACAGATTAACATTGGGAGCTAGGCTCCTTTTAAACATTCCCGGGCTAACATAGCCACGCCTATTTACAATAAACAACCAATGAGGTTGTGCGGATAAAGACCAATGAGAGTCTTTCCCTCGCAGGGAACTGGAACAGTTCTGATAGGTCGCTATTGAAAAGCGACCAATATGAATTTAGTCCTGAGGAGCCTCCGTTCGGCTCAAGCTTAACATGGGAGGTGAATTAGGCGATTCACGTAATACATTTAATACATTACAGGCCCTTTCTTACATGCCAAGGAAATGCTGATTGCCACTTTGGAGAGTTAGGAAGCCATTTGTTGCCAGGCCAGTTTGGCTGGAGATCCTGGAGGTTTTTTGTCATCTTCTGGGCATAGAACAGGGGTCACTGGGATTGTGAGAGGGGAGGTATTTGTGAACTTCCTGCGTTATGCAGGGGGTTGGACTAGATGGCCCTGGAGGTACCTTCCAATTCTATGAGTCTATGATTCTATGAATGCTGTCATTTTGTTTCCAGAGAGTCATGCTAATAACCTGCTACTGCTTATTAGATTTAGGACAAAGGAGTGAAATAGGATTCAGGGAGGGTTTTTTTGAATGAGTACTTCTGTGAGAGGGTTGAAATAGATCCATTGTGGTTCTGCTGCACCCATGGCTGGCAAATAACAAGGGTCTATTGCTCAGCAGTCAAGAATGTGCTTTGCATGCCAAGGGTGCCAGGTTCAATCAACAGCATCTCCAGTGAAAGGATGGAGTAGCAGGCGATGTGAAAGATCTCTGCTTGAGGCCTTGGAGAAGTGCTGCCAGTCTAAATAGACCTTGACGGAACAATGGTCTGATTCAGGCAGCCCCATATGTGTTCAAAGAAAGGAAGGTAAAATGAGGAGATTGGGTAGGAATATGTTAAACCCATTCATATGCTTCAAAGCTTATTGTAATCAGAGATTACAAAGTAAATTTGCTCGCTAGCAGGGGGAAAGAGAAAGAAGAGTGGGTATAGCTCATCTCTCAGTCTTTGAGTGTCATAGGCTCTAATCACACAAGGGAGAAACTGTGGGCAGGAAGCGAGGCTGTTTGCCCCGGGGCGAACTGATGCACATTTGCGCCATCAGATTTCCGCCCGCCTGCTCCACAGTTCCGGATACAACTAGGTTTTAGTCGGTGGCTTTTTGCGATGCTCCTGCGACGCAAAACTACGCCCCGCCAACGACTGCGGGACACCAGACAGATGTCTTTAATCCGTGGGGGAATTGTTTGGCTGCCGCAGCTTCCGCTCCATATGATCGCAGCCATAGCTGTGCAAAAGGACCTAGCCAGGAGAAGAAGAATAGCAATGTTCCACTTTTGCTAAAAAGCCACAGGAGGCCAAAGTAAAGAACCCTTCTTGCAAGCAGAAAGAGAAGGACATTCTGCTGTGGGTGGGCAGAAATGAAGTTAGCATTTATTAAATGGGTTAGCACTTATCAGGTGGTGGATGGACATCTCTCATTGTTCTGTACTGAAAGGGCAGTGAGGGTACAGTGTCACTGGCACTACAATGTCATTTCTGGGTGAAAACGCAGAAGTGCCTTCACACACACTCCAAACCAGTCTAGAAATTTCCCTAATCTCTATTGCTTTTTATCATTCCCCATTATGTGTTCTTAACACTCTTAGCTGCTCAGACTTTTCCCCTTAAGAGGTTAAGCCATTTTCTTTTCTGTACCTGACTGCAGGTTGAACACATGTTGTTGAGACCACAGAGGGGTAGCTGAAAACCACAGGAACAATGTCATGGATAGTTTGTAAGGCTGTGATCACACACACTAAATAATCCACAAGATGGGTTCTTTATTTTGCCAGTTGCAACTCCAAGAAGCAATAGCCTATCCTAGGTCCCGTTCATACTTGCCGGGAAATGCGGGGGGGGGTCTAGAAATTTCCCTAATCTCTATTGCTTTTTATCATTCCCCGTGATGTGTTCTTAACACTCTTAACTGCTTAGACTTTTCCCCTTAGGAGGTTAAGCCATTTTCTTTTCTGTACCTGACTGCACGTTGAACACATGTTGTTGAGACCACAGAGGGGTAGCTGAAAACCACAGGAACAATGTCATGGATAGTTTGTAAGGCTGCGATCACACACACTAAATAATCCACTTTCGATCCACTTTCCAACTGGATTTTGCCAGTTGCAACTCCAAGAAGCAATAGCCTATCCTAATTTTCCATCATACAGGTTATGTAAGAGTTTCGGTCAGAGGGCTATGGTTTTATCAACTTTTCTTTTTTCCCCCCCTTTGCCCAATATCTTGTGTTTAGAAGTGCTGTGGGCACTTAAATTTATTTAATAAATTCTCTTCCATTTAAAATATGGTCAATCTGTCCCTTTGACCCATGTTAGATCCATTGTTGGAGCAATGCAGACCAAAAGAGAGGAGTGGAGGGGACTGCAACTATTCACCTCCCCAGAAGCATCCAAGAGGTAAGCCTAGGAGGGCAAGATGGAAAAGGGAATCTATGTTTAAGTCTGTGGGTCATTCATTCCCTTTAACTATAGAATTGATGGTGGTGGCAGTACACACAGACAGACAGGAAAGTGTATGGTTCCCATGTGTGCAGAAACGAAATCTTATGAGTCTCATTTCCCCACACATACCAACATATTGTACCCTATTCACATTAGGGGACCTTTCCCAGTGACGAGCGATTACCTTCCAAGGCATCAGATGCAGAGGAATGAGGCTGCCCCAGTTCTCTGTTGCTCTGTGTTTGGTTCTAGACAAGTCCATGACGTTTAGGGCATGCGCAATGGCGTAGACAGCATTATAGATACTGTAGCTGTGGCCAGTCATCCTCATTTCAAAGAAAGGTGCCGGGACACTCTCCAGTCTCTCCTCTCCAGTACATGTTTCACTAGGTTTTGTTGGGTTAATGGAATCTGGAAATGCACAGTCGAATGCTTGTTCCCAGAAGTTCTTGATAAAACCGTCCCCCTTTGCCCAGGAGGGCTTGAGAACCTGAAGAAATCTACGGAAGCCCAAGATTTCCTTTGAATGAATGGTGAAGGAAAGAGCACCATGGAATATTTGTATATTAAATATCTTTTGAAAAATAATGAATGCAAAATCAATCTGGGCTGTTGTGATCCACACCTTTCCTGCAGAGGCTCTCGACGTGTCCTCAGAGCCTGTTAGAATCTTTAAGTATATGGGTATAAATGTAATGGTTTCCAGCCACATAAAGGTTCCAGTTTCTCCATATACAACAATTGCATTGGCTTTGCTGTCCAGGAAATCGGCATTGCTACGGTCGATGTATGCCAAAAGGACCTCAAGGCTTTCCAACGGGACACCTTCTGGAATCTTCTGTGTGAAGGCCACACAGATTCCATTTCTGGAAAGCATCGGCTCCAAAGTCTGCGAGAAATAGTCTCCACTTTCACTATCCATAGTGACGATCCCAACCCATTTCCACCTGAAATGCAGAAGTAACTGGACGATCCCCTCATACAGAAGGGCTTCACTGGGGACCATGCGGTAAAAGGAAAAGAACTGGGACGAATCATCCCGTTCTGGTTTAAATGAGCCATACGAAAGCTAAAAAAAAAAAAAAAAGTTCCAGAGGAAAAAAGGTATCGTTGAGTAACTCTTTATTCATTTTGTTCTTATTTGCAAACACTCTTTAGTTGTACTCCATACTTTGATTCGGGGCTTTTTTAAAAAATTGGGAAAAGAGGTGCTGGGACTCCCAAGAAGGAAATGAAGTTTTCAATCTGTATACTGGAAACTCACGAACTTTTAAACATTTTAAAAATAATTTTGTCAAAGAGGTTCCAGAACTCTGTTCTGGCGTGTTTCCCCAGAAAAAAAGCCCTGCTTTGATTCCATTGTTGGCATATTCAGAGTGATGCTATTCAAGATGGCAGCAAGTCACTGAGATCTGTGTGATCTAACTTGACAGTTCAGAGATCACACGACAGCCAATTGCATCACCTTTCAAGGAGTCACTATGACTCAGCATTTTGTATGTAAAGGTAAAGGTAAAGGTTCCCTTGCTCGAAAGCCAGTCGAGTCCAACTCTAGGGTTGCGGTGCTCATCTCCGTTTCCAAGCCGAAGAGCCAGCGCTGTCCGAAGACGTTTCCGTGGTCATGTGGCCGGCATGACTAAACACCAAGGTGCACGGAACGCTGTTACCTTCCCACCGAAGTGGTCCCTATTTATCTACTTGCAATTTCTTGCTTTTGAACTGCTAGGTTGGCAGGAGCTGGAACTAGAGACAGGAGCTCACCCTGTCTTGCGGCACCCGGGTCTTGAACCGCTGAACTACTGACCTTCCACAGCCTGCAGTTCAGCGTCTTAACCACTTGAGCCACCGCAGCTCCATTTTGTGTTTACTGCATTGTGATTGGTTGTATACCTGTATATATTGAATGTAGTTGAGTTCACTACGACTGCCTATGTGGCTACTATTGCCTGGCGAAGCAGTTTGTCGGTCTGACAGCTGAATGCTGAGTTCCTGTGGACTGTGTGTAAATATTGTATAATAAACTGTAAATACTCTGCACCAAGGCAGGCGTGCTCTGCTTATTACGGCTTGAAACACCGTCATCCATAATAACCCCAAGGAAAAGTACAGAAACATAGAACTCTATTTTACAGAACATTTGTCCATTCAGATGCAGCTGATATCAACCACACAGTTCCTCCTGCTTCTGTCTGGAGCCCGTAGCAGTTCCTTATCAAATGGTGGGTGGAGGAGAGGAGGGGAGGGGGGGTTGAGAGGCAGAGGATACACAGTAGGTCTTGGTGAGACATCTCATCCCTCATAAAGTCAGTCTTCACAAGCAGAAACCTCAAGCAGAAACCTGTTGACTATTACAAGACTTCTTGGTTCATGTCATGGGTATATAAATTGCAAAGTGGGCATAAGAATAGGCACAAGTTTTTATAAGCAAAGTATAGAGATACAGATTACAAATAAATACTGATGAAGACATATTCACTTACACTGACGTTCATGGTTTGCTTTGTAGAGCTGTATGAACTGTTAAGTGTGTCACAAATGAAGTTGTCTTCCAACATGGAATTCACTGCCACAGGAGGTGGTGGCAGCTACAAGCATGGACAGCTTCAAGAGGGAATTAGACAAGCATATGGAGCAGAAGTCCATCAGTGGCTACTAGCCACAAGGTATGGATAGGAACTCTCAGGCTGGGACAAGTGATGCACTGTATTCTTGGTGCTTGGGGGGGGGGCAACAGTGGGAGGGCTTCTAGTGTCCTGGCCCCACTGCTGGACCTCCTGATGGCACCTGGTATTTTTGGCCACTGTGTGACAGAGTGTTGGACTAGATGGGCCATTGGCCTGATCCAGCATTGGCTTCTCTTATGTTCTTATATAACTACAGAGATGGCCAAGTGCCATAAAGAGTCTTCGGCCTAGTCTATATTGTTGACCTTTAGAGAGGGGGGTTACATCATTTCCTACACTTCAGTTTCCTTCCTTTCCCCACAGTGGTTCTGGCTGATTCTACACAAGTAACCTGTTATGCTATTCTAGCATTTATATTTTGACTATCTGTGATGAGTGGCATTGATCCTTTATCTCCAACATGGCTTTTAATAGAGTGCTCTATTCTGTGTAAACATCCAGCAACACCCTTTCTCATGGACACAATTCTGCCATGAAGTAGTTTAGGGTCAAGAAATACATGTTTAAAATATTTATTTACAAGAATGTGAGCATGTGTCCAATAAATGCTGCAGTCAAAATTCCTCTTTCCTTTAGCCATTTCTCCCCTTACTGTCCATGATGCCCAACTCACTAGTCAGACCCCACTTCATATATACAGCCTTCATTCAGACTCCTAATCTCAAATATTTAGTGGTATCCCAGGATAACTAGGCACTTCTAGCCTTGATGTTCAACAGAGGAGTCACAGTAAAAACAATAACAATGCTTCCTGGTGCCATCAAAGAATGAAAATAAAAGAACTCAGAATCCACTGTGTTCTTCACAAGGTGCAAATCCAAAAAAGACAGGAAAAAGACTGCCAGATTGGATTGTATTCATCACATTCCTTTCCCTTTGCACTTTTGCTTTTTCCCCATTTTTTTCCTAGCTGACACAATAGTATCTACATTAATAACACAATTCGTTATCCACTAAGTATGATGAGACGTTGTAACTGTTTCTCTAAAAATAAATTCATGTTAATTTTATATACTCCTTTTAGCACATTGCTTATAAGCTGCCTTAAATCTTCAGCAAAGTTGGGGCACAGCATTTAAAATTAATAAACAGGCTTTCTGTTTAATAATGGCTCATCGCACCATTTATATAGCCATTCATTTATTTTACAGTTGTGACTTCCCTCTTCCTGAATAAAATGCCCACAAGCTGGCTTCACAACATTCCGATAAAATAATAAAAGTACAGTAATACATCTAAAATGCGATAAAAGCGCAACGTAAATTTGCACCCACAGATTAAAATCATTAAGCAAAAAAGTAAAAAGTGTAAGATCCAAGAATCAAGCAGGAGTGTCCCACCAAGGCTGCGGTCACACACACTAAATAATCCACTTTCAATGCACTTTCCAACTGGATTTTGCCAGTTCACACAGTAAAAATCCAGTTGGAAATTGCACTGGAAGTGGATTGAAAGTGGATTATTTCGTGTGTGTGACCGCAGCCTTAGAATCTCTAAAATGTACTATAAACGTAGGTCAGTGGAGAGATTAAACAAAGCATTTTGATACCAGAGCAGTAAAAAGGTAAAGGTTCCCTTGCTCGAAAGCCAGTCGAGTCCGACTCTAGGGTTGCGGTGCTCATCTCCGTTTCCAAGCTGAAGAACCAGCGCTGTCCGAAGACGTTTCTGTGGTCATGTGGCCGGCATGACTAAACACCAAGGCACACGGAACACTGTTACCTTCCTACTGGAGTGGTCCCTATTTATCTACTTGCAATTTCTTGCTTTCGAACTGCTAGGTTGGCAGGAGCTGGAACTAGAGACGGGAGCTCACTCCGTCTTGCGGCACCCGGGTCTTCAACTGCTGAACTACTGACCTTCCACAGCCTGCAGTTCAGCGTCTAAACCACTTGAGCCATTGCAGCTCAAGTAGTAGAAGGTTAATATTAGATTATTAAAATATTAGATAGAATATGGAATGTACTAATATTTCAGAACAAGGTGCAAGGGTAAAACTTAACGGGAGAGATTCAATTAATCTAAATGTGTGGGAGAAGACAAAAATTTTCACCTGGCTACCGCATGGTAGCAGATTTGGTTCCAGGCAATGTTCTGCGTGTGCAGACAAGTTCAGGACCACAACACAACAGGCACTGTGTCTGGTGTTTCCACTTTTCACCTCTGACAAGGGTCTTAAATGGTGAGAATGAGAGAAGGCTATCCTTTAGTTCAGGGGTCTCCGGCCTTCAGGCACCCACCAAAACACCTTTTCTTCTACCTGCCAAGTATTTTTAGGAAGTGGATGTGACCAGGTTGGGCTTCTGCCCAGCAAGGCTTCTGAATGACTACTGGAGATTTGATTGGTTGAACAGATTTCTTTAAATGTTACTTCAGCAGCAGCTGCCACCACAGCACAAGGATCTGCACTGTGTTCCTGACGTTAAGTTGTGTCAGTCGTTATGTGGCTGGCTCCTCCTCCTGTATTTTCGCTGCACCCACCATGCTGTGTCAAGAGTTCCAAATGGGCCTGTAGGCTCAAAAAGGCTGGGGACCCCTGCTTTAGTGCTTATTTCCTCTGAAACAGGAAGAAGGCGAGAAGAGTTCATTTTTCATGTAGCAATGTCTTATTTTTTTTTTAAAAAAACCCCCTGTAGTAGCGTAATTTATATTTTTAGCAACAGTTGAATAGCTTTCTAAGATGAAAAGGAAAACTATTAATGCCCCCAAAGCCCTTCATGAAACAAGACTGAGGCTGCGGTTACACGGCATGGTAATTGCGTCTTTTTCCTGCTTTAATTTAAATGGGAATATTTTGCTGCGGGTTTGGATGTCTACAGAGCCATCCCCCTTACCGGCTGCTGGCCGTCCCCCTCCCTCTCGTCCCCATACAGCGATGACAGCAGCTGCCCCTGGGTGGCCACAGGGCTGTCCTTGCCATCGGCCCAGTCGCTGCCGGCCTGGTGTTCCTTCTCCTGGTGCTTCTGGGCGGCCAGGAGGTTGAGGCCCAGCAGGAAGGCACGTGGCGTGGGCCGCGCTGCTCGGGCACCGTCTCCGCCACCTCCTTGCCACCTCTGTCCAGGCTGTTGGAGCCCCCACCTCTCATTCCCACCTCCACCAGGATGCTGTAAGCACTGACTTTTTTTAAAAAAATGGGTTTATTAAGCACATGTATGCCCATGCGCTCAAACTGGAAGCTTAAAAAAACCCAAACCTACAGAGAGCGGTCAGACGGCCCTATTCGCAATCATTGCGAAAGAGGGCTGTCCATATAGTTGAAATTGCGTGTTCAATGCGCAAGAGCCAGGAAAGTACTCGATTTTCCCAGGGTCAGGAAAACCCGCTAGCATTGCGAGAGTGAGCCTGCTTTGGCGCGGGAGGCGGATTGGCGCATGTGAACAGAAAATTTAAATGCGGGAGGAAACAGTGGCGAATCCCGATCAAAGGGACAGTGTGAGCGCACCCTAATAAATAAGCACTGATTCACGCATGCTTTGGCCGGCAAAAACCATTGCCAGAGCAATGGGATGTGGCCTTAAAGTTTATAACTGCTCTCTCTATGGATCTTCTTATGTGAGGTGTTTTTTTTAGCTCAGCCTATGTGAGTTTTTAATTCTATTTTCATTTCAGTGAGTGCCCCCCCGACTTTTTAAAAGGCCCCCCACATTAATAAATCCTGGCCTCAGGCCTGCCATTTCCTCCTGAGCACTGGTCTCTATACTATGGAGATGAATTGCTGTACTGGGAGAACTCCAGTCCCACATGGGACTAGAAATCCTACAATTCACAACAGAGCAGGGATTAGTTAAACTGGAAATAGGAGAAAGGAGAACAACCTGCTAATGCTAATATACAGATATGCTAATGGGGTCTGAACCTGAGAGTGAGAGGGAAAGACACTTTGGGGTCATGAAAGTGGTCGCCCAGTGTGCCCCAGCAATTAAAAAAAGGTAAGCTTTATGTTGTGGATTATTAGGAAACGGGGTGAAAATAAAATGGCCAAAAAGGTTTTGTCCCTGTATAGATCTGTGGTACAGCCTCATTTGGAATACTATGTGCAGTTCTGTTCACCGTATCTCAAAAAGGATAACAAACACAGAGCTGGGAAAAGTATAGAAGAGGGCAACCAAAATGGCTAGGGAGTTGGGGCACCTTCCCTATGAGGAACGGCTGAAGAGCCTGGGACATTTCAGTTTAGAAAAGGGCACTTAGATTCTCTTCTAATATTCTCTGAATAAATTATGTTGAGTCTAGAGCAAACACTGCCTGGGACAACCTCCACATTCTAGGTGACCAATCTGAGAACAAATCAAATGAACACCCATCCATAGAATAGAATCAGCAAACACCCCCCCCCTTATTATGCAGTTCCCATTTATTTAGAAGAAGAAAGAAGAAGAGTTGGTTTTTATACCCCATTCTTCACTACCCGAAGGACCCTCAGAGCGGCTTACAATTGCCTTCCCTTCATCTCCCCACAAAAGACAACCTGTGAGGTAGGTGGGGCTCTGAGAGAACTGTGACTGGCCCAAGGTCACCCAGCTGACTTCATGTGGAGGAGTGAAGAATCAAACCCAGATCTCCAGATTAGAGTCCGCCGCTCTTAACCACTTTTGAAGAAATGTGTTGAACACAAATCCATTGGGCATCAATATCACATCATAATGCAACTTAACACATTTCACTTCTTCTTCTGTTTTTGGTCCTACTTCTTATTATTCCCTATCCGTAACAGCAGAATAGAAAGGGTAGATTAAGGCAAATCCCCATAGTCCCAAAACTCTGAACCTACCTGTGGTATCTTGCAAAGACTTAAGATGCTTGCCATGTGTGATGAGGTATCAGCGGTAAGTCCTCCAATGACACCTATTATTTTCTTCTGGGTACCACACTGGTAGTTTGGGACTAGTTCCTGTGAAGTGAAGAGCAGGTCCATGGTGGTCCTGTAAGTCCACCTTGCATCTGCGGAGGAGTCATGGATGAGAAACCCAAGGGTGACATTGGGCAAGATGTCGGGATTCTCATTGATCTCACTGATGGCAAATGCCAAGGCCAGGAGGTGCTGGTAGTTCTTTGTTACTAGGCTGCAAAGGAAATCAACTGCTGTTTTACAGGAGAATTATACAATGCATGACATTGATGTTGGTCACAATATTGGTTCTAAGAATATAACACGAAACCATCTGAATAACACGAACGATCCATCTGATGCTCCCTTCCTATCCATGATACTACTGGGAAAGACACAAGTAGGGCATGGAGCTAATTTCCACTACCCCCCAGTAACCAGCGTACTTGAAGCTTACTCTAGGTTTCTGTTAGCTTCCACGAAAATGCTCCTTCATAGGTAGATGAATTTGTCTACCCGCCCCCCCCGCTCATAAGAAAGCTGATCTGGTGGCCTTCAGTTCTTCAGATATACAGATTTGACAAAATATGATTCAAGTCTCTTACAATAAAAGGAAAATTAATTCCTTACACTGGGAAGGCTCTGTAGTCCTGAGGATAGTGCTGCTTTTCAAATGTAACCACTTCAGAAGCGTGACCCATATGAGATAAAATCCCACCAAAAAGTATTTCCCCAGGCTGGTACCAATGATGTAGGATCTCAGCAGGATAGTTTCCAGTGCACTTCATATGATGTATTTTACACACCACATGAAGAAACATCATCTGCATCAGCAGCAACATCATGGAGTTTCCCATGTGGGTGAAAAAGCAGCTTTCGACACACAAATTCTCCTGGATCAAGTTTCTACAGCATCACCACTAGCCCCAGTCTGTTTTAAGGTACGCTCCTCACTTGGAAGATGGCTCTTCCAACACACTTCTCAAACGTGCACATGTGAAAGTTGTCCTTCATGTTCTACCAGCCTATTTTGTTTCCTGTTTGGGAGACTTTGATGAACCATCTGAAAACTACCTTCCTCTTGTCCCTCATCTCAGCTGTGAATGGGGTGGAGGGTTTGTAACCAGAGATTTCTGATTCCATTACTGATTTGTTTTTTTAAATTGTCTCCAGGAAAGCCACTGGAGCTTCAATGCTGTAAAGAAATGACAATGATTATGATAATTATATGGAATATACGGGGCAAAATCTCTGTAAAGCTTTTGTGCTCCTTCTGTCATAACTGGTTGCAGAAACACTGAAGCAAACATACTTGTCTGATCTCACTACATGTTCTCTGTAGTAAGGCAGCAACTGCTCTGCTGAGGTCAGAATGACCTCTAGAGGCCCTGCCCACCTATGATGAAATCCTAGAAGAAATGGGTACACTTAGAATGATGTTGACAACCTAAGAATTCTGAACATCTTCTTCATAGATTTATTTATTTGGATAATATCTGCGCTGCCTCTCCATGGAACTGATAGAGGTAGCTTTCAAAGTAAACACGATAAAGCATTAAACAGCAAAGGATCATTAAAAGTTAACGATACAGTTAAAAACTCAACTAAAACCCCGTCCTAACAATGCCACCAAAAATCAACCCCCCCCCCCCAGCCATGTCTTTTAATGTCTCTGGCTGCAAGCAAAGTGGCAAGGTTCAGAAAAGACTTGGAGGCTACATTGACTCCTGGAATGTTTGTTGGGGGTTGTGGTCTATCAATATGTGGAACCTTGGGAATTACACATGCCTTCTAACATGGAACAACTCCTATTTGAATCCATCACCCACCTCATGGGGTCATGCAAGGTGTGACAATCTGGACTGATTTAGAAGAGTTGCCCAGTGGTGCCATCCCTCCTGGCTAAACCCCAGGGAGGAGTTTCATTCATCTTTGTTCTCACCTTGCTTCACTACTGCTGCCATCAGCCTTGTTTTTCTTCTAGGCAGATTTGGAGTTGCAAGAGGAGAATATTCCAGGGTAGAATACAACTTGCAGGTTCTGCAGAAAACCACTTGCCTTCCCGTTGGTGGGTGGATAGTAATTCCTTTGCTCCCCCTCCCCAATAACCATGGCAAACAGCCCTAGCTCTTCCTGTTTCACTGACTTGCTGCACCTTAGTCAGCTGCTCAGGTAATGTATCCAGTCTCTCCATTGAGCCGTCCACACTCCAGACATGGTGTGCATCTGACAGTTGTGTGTGGTGTGTCTTTGAACTCTAGATTTGCTATGGGATCTTTGGCATTAGGAGTCATTTACACTGCTCCCGCAGTGCATGCCTTGGACAGGTGTCTTGCTGGTGATCAGGGATAGTGAAAGGCCTAAATTCTGGCGACAAGTTCCAGAAAAAAAGCAGCAGAAGCAGCAGCAACAATGGTGGGGTGATGAATGGCTCCTTTCTGAGCATATGTAGAAAGGTTCTAAAGTTTTCTGCCTTCAGTGGGCCCATTTCAGCCTCTCAAAAAGGTACTTGAAAGAAACAGAATCTCAAATGGAGCAAAAGAACTCAGGGCAGGCCAAGGCCATCATGTTTCTTTCATATCTATCTGTTTGTCAGGACGAAGTGTCACCAGAATGACAGTAATCAGTGTAGCATACACATTCTCTGAAAGCCTGATTGGGTTCGACTCCCCACCCTGTTCTTGTTGCATAAATGCAAGACTCAGCATAGAATTGTTTAAATAGTCACAATGCAGATAATCATATAATTGCTGTGTTTTAATAAAATCTGACTATTGGGTGTTAGTCTCAGTTTGTTTCTGGGCGCAATTCAAGGTGGTACTATTGACATTTAAAGCCCTATATGGCTTGGGGCCAGCATACCATAATGATCACCTCCCTTATGAACCTACCCTTACAGGAACCATCATTCCATGAGAAGGTGTCATTCCAGTCCCAGACCGATTTATCTGTTTCCAGGGACAGTCATTATACTCTGGGAGCTGTCATTCCAGGATCTGAACACTTCTACGGATCCCAAGGATTGTCATCCCACTCGGTGGTGGGGGGGTTGTCATTCCAGTCCCAAAGCATTGATTCCAGTTCCAGGGACTGTCATTCTAGCCTGGGGCTGTCATTCCAGTCCCAGAACACTTATGCCACTCAGAGGCCATCATTCCACTTTTGGGACTGTCATTCCACTCCCAGAGCAGTCTATCTGAGCCCAGAGAACCCCCCACCCACTGTAACCCATTCTGTATCGTCACAAGAAATTTGTGTGCTGTAATGTATTACAGTGGAGCTCATGCAAGTCAGTTGGCATGTCATTCCTGGCAGCATTTCCTATTGTTCTCAATGGGCAATTCATTTTGCTACATCTCTCCTTGGCGCTTGGTTTCTCTACTTTGACATTGGTTGTGTTAGGCTTGCTACGTGGTTCTTCTGGTTCTGTATTGGTTCTTTTGGCTTGTTGGTCCTGTCTATTTTGAGAGGCTTTTGGCCAGGGGGTTCTTTGCTTATTCTTGTGTTGCTTCACTTGGAAAAATCATGGACACGTCCCCTCCGCAAGCATTGGAGGACGGCCAGGAGCACGTTCTCTAGGGTCCCATAGAATTGGTCCAATTCCCTTGAAATATGAGGGTTGCTTGAAGGACAGGCACCAGCAGTTCTGCCTAATGTTTGGTGGTGTTTGGTCAAACAATGTCCCCTCCAGCCCCGTAGAACTATTCCTCATAGAAAATAATGAAGCCAATTAATATTGGAATGCTGAAAAAAACCACCCAGATTCAAATTTCTAACTGGTATTTGAAACCTGGAAAACCAGGAATACAGGTATTTTTGAACTCCCTGATATCGGGATTGGAAAAAAACTGATTTATTTCCCAGCTCCACTTCCCTAGTATCTAAAACATTTGTGGGAAAATTCACAATATCCCTATCTGGGATATGAGGAGAGATGTCACAAATGTTGCAGCCCAAAATACCATTTTAAAAACCATGAGAATTTGTAAGCCAAGCTTCCAATCATCTGGTCTTCTTGCTATCAAAATTGAAGTGCTGCTGAACGAATTTGTGGCTCTACAGTAGGTGTGATGGTGGAGTGTCATTTCCTTCTGCCCTGCAGGCACATTTGTAAATTGTGGAGTAGTCGTTTCTCCCCTTAATCACAGATGTTCAGGTCAGGAAATTAATGAATGAGGAGGGATTACTACAGCTCCCAAAGGTACATGTGAAAGGTACATGCCTTAATAATGTGGACTGAAATGCAATCAAATGGTAAGCCTTCATCTTCTTTTTATGCAGTTTTAAAGTTTATTATCATAGTGTGACTTTTCCATTTTTTATTTTAATGACTTCTTGCCAAGTGCTGAGCTATGATAACCATGTGAACAAGGATGTGTGAAATGTTCATGGGTTTCGTTCTCTGCTGCACTATATTGTACTGTTTCAGGATGAATATAAGTACATGAGAACATGAGAAGCCATGTTAGATCAGGCCAGTGTCCCATCCTATCCAACCCTCTGTGTCATACAGTGGCCCAAAACCAGCTATCATCAGGAAGTCCAACAGAGGTGTCAGAATGCCAGAAGCCCTCCCACTGCTGCCCTCCAAGCACCAAGAATACACAGTGTCACTGCCCCAGACATAGTGTTCCATAAATACCTTATGCCTAATAGCCACTAATGGATCTCTGCTCCATATGTTTATTTAATTGCCTCTTGAAGCTGCCTATGCTTGTAGCTGCCACCACTTCTTGTGGCAGTGAATTCCATGTCTTAATTACTCTTTGAGTGAAGAAGTACTTCCTTTTATCTTTTCTATACCTACTGCTCATTAATTTCATTGAGTGCCCATGAGTTCTTGTATTGTGAGGAAGGGATAAAAGTACTTCTATTTCTGCCTTTTCTATCCCATCCGTCATTTTATTAACCTCTGTTATGTCTCCCCTCAGTTGTCGTTCCTCCAAGCTAAAGAGCCCTAACGTCTTTAACCTTTCTTCATAGAGAAAGTGTTCCATTCCCTTAATCATTTAGTTGCTACTTTCTGCACTTTTTCCAATGCTCTAATATCTTTTTTGAGGTGCAGTGGTCAGAAATGTGCACAGTAT